CAGTAGCAGTCGCAGTCGCAGTCGCAGTCGCAGTCGCAGTCGCAGTCGCAGTCGCAGTCGCAGTCGCAGTCGCAGTCGCAGTCGCAGTCGCAGTCGCAGTCGCAGTCGCAGTCGCAGTCGCAGTCGCAGTCGCAGTGGCAGTGGCAGTGGCAGTGGCAGTGGCAGTGGCAGTGGCAGTGGCAGTGGCAGTGGCAGTAGCAGCAGCAACAGCAGCAGCAGCAGCAGCAGAAGCAGCAGCAGCAGCTGCAGCAGCTGCAGCAGCTGCAGCAGCAGCAGCAGCAGCAGTAGCAGTAGCAGTAGCAGTAGCAACCGTCGTCTTCGCAGTAGTCGTAATCATGCCCTGCATCCTGCATCGCTTTGATTGACCCTCCCCGCGTTTTCCCGGCTACCCATAATGTTGATATTGCACTGACCCAAGGGCTGAAATAAGGGCTGAAGGGCCTGCAGAGCACTTCGTGGGGAAGCCAAGCTGGTCAAGGAGGCAGCGCTGGAGCCGTCGACCCCGCCGCCTGGGAACTGGGCTTTAGGGTTTGGGGTTTAGGGGTTTAGGGTTCAGGGTTCCGCTATGGGTTCAAAATGGGGTTTCGGGTTTAGCCACAGTCTCCATTGTTGTCCTGCTCCTGGTTGCCTTGTCTTTGTATTTTAGAAACCTTTCCATACTATTGCTTGACCGCCCAGAACAGCGTCAAGGCAAACCGCCGAACCTTATATAAGGACCTCTAGAGCTTAAATCATCTTCAACCTCTCAGGATTTCATAATCGAGGGCGGCACTGTTTAGTGGTGCCTGTGGGAAATCAGAGTTCGAGGGAATGGCGATCAACCTCGAGTTCAACAAGCTTCGGACAAGTTGGTTTAGGGTTTAGGGTTTAAGGTTTAGGGTTTAGGGGGGGCAGGAGGACGCGACTTGAGGATCTACGACTAAGGCCTAAGTACAAAGTTGAGGATGCTTTTTGGTGTTGAGGGAGAGCATTGCAAGCATGTGAGTTCGAAGCTTACCCCAAAGGGTCCAAGTACCTAATAGTCATATACTCTCCCAAACAATAACCTACATAACTACTATCCGAAACCTAAGTGCCTGATTATTGGGTCCTTTGGACCCCTAGGGTTAAGGGTGACGTGTTGCTTCTGCTCCGTGCTTGCTTCCGTGAGATCAAGGGCCCGGGTGTAAGCCATCCTGAGAACCGGGCAGCGCACTGAACCGGGTGAACCCCAAGCCCTGAACCCTCTAGGCCCCTAAACCCCCAAAACCCTAAAGCCCTAAACTCTCAACCCTGAACGTCAAACCAGCCTTGCGAACGCCACGAAAGCAACAGCGTCTCTGGACGAACATCGTCAAAACCCTGAACCAGCATGCTCCATTCCTTCCGCCGGGCGTTTTGCAAAACAAAGTATACTTACAACAATCGACAAAGCAATAACGGCAGAAAAATTAATAGTAATGACAGTAGAAACAACAGTGGCAATGATGACACAGATAATGATCACACCCGAAAACCTAAAACCCTAAAAACGGAAAATGCAAACAGGCCGCCCAATGCTCGCACGTGCTCCGCCACGTTGGGGCGTTCGCTGGGGCCTCCCGGGCTTCTCGGAAGTAGTTCTGAGTCTAGGGTTTAGGGTTTAGGGTTTAGGGTTTAGGGACGGAAAACCCTTGAAGCCCAGTTGCCTATGTGATGACTGACTGATAGGTGAATCTATCACTTTGGGGGTTCAAAACATGTTTGAGTATGCATATATGCAAGTGGTGTGGAAGGCAGATTCGCTGCCAAATCTCAGGCACTGCAGCCCAGCGCCTGATATACGGGCCTTACAAAAATACGATGAATATTGGGTTTTGTAGTACATTCAAAGACAATATACACGGACTATCAGGGGATTTCGTTGCCAATTTGCCAGACCTGCACAGAAGCCAACCTCTCCGATAGATCAAACCCTAATACGATCAAACTAGACCTGTGCTAACGACCCCGAACGCACAGAGGCACTCGGATGGTTTAGTCGAATTCAAGCATGCAGGTATGCATTGCATGTGCTTACAGACATGCATGGGTGCAAAAAAATTCAGTCATACCTTCAATGTCTTGCAGGCAACACCAACATACCGGGAATTGCCACGCCATCTGTCGGATTGTCAAGAAAAACTCAAGAAATTCTGTTGAGTTGTAGGCCTCGCAACTTTCCTTGAAGATTCCTAGGTACCCAACCTAAACCCTGAACCCGGAGTAGTGTTGCAAAGCCGGTGGAGTCATGCAGAAAATCCAAATCTCCCCGCCACTTCCAAGGCTTGGAAGTTTATAGGGTGTAGGGGTGTCCAAGGTTTAGGCTGTAGGGTTTAATCTTGAGGGCCTCGAGGGTTTAGGATAGGTAAATTCCACACCCTCCCTAAACCCTAAACCCTAAACCCTAAACCCTAAACCCTAAACCCTAAACCCTAAACCCTAAACCCTAAACCCTAAACCCTAAACCTTAAACCGAACACCCGAGCCTGAGCGCAGGTCGCACACCGCCACCTGCCCCTGACTTCCTTCCGACGCCAGCCTCAGATTCGGGTTCGTCTTATGAAGCCCTATTTAGGGTTTAGCGTTTTAGGGTTTAGGGCTTAGGGTTTTAGGGCCTGGTTTAGGGAGTTCGATGGTTGAGGTTGAGGATTGAAGGTTTAAGGTTTAGGGGTTTAGGGACTTCGGGAGTTTAGGGTTTGTGGAAGTTGGCAGAATTTTGGATTCATCGTCCAAGTTGAATGTCTGGCTGGGAGAGAGATAACAATCGTTCAAGGCTCACTGTTGGTTGGACCGTCTTATATTTAGGATCTGCAAGGCGATTTGGAAAAAAAAATCCCAATGAAGACTGCAGGTAAGGTCATCTCTGCCCCGTTGCCCTAAACCCTAAACCCGAAACCCTCAAGCCTTGAACCCTAAATTCTTGGATAACCCTAAACCCTAAACCCTAAACCTTGCCCGTCATAAGGTCATTTCCGCCCAGACGCTGGGGCGAAGAGGGCTCTTTCCGACTCTTCGAGTGTGACCTGAGCCTGCCCTGCTCCTCGGCCTCTGGCAGTCTTGGCTTCCGGGCTGAGGCTTTACGTAAGGCTTTGAGGTTTAGGGTCTTAGGGGTTCAGGCTTTAGGGTTCAGGCTTTAGGGTTGAGGCTTTGGGNNGGCTTTAGGTTTAGGGCTTCAGGTTTCAGGCTATGGTGGTTTGGGCTTCAGCGGGTTTAGAGATTTCGGGTTTGTGTTTAGGCTTGAGCGTCTAGGGATTAGGGTTCAGGGTTAGCATACTTTGCACCAGGCATGGGCTACAGTGAAGCGTCCCGCAAGCCTTCCTAAACCATTGCAAAACTGACACACCCTTACTAAACTAAACAGATATTGCAGTGAATTCCGTGGCTTGTGAGGATGGTTTTTTTTGGGGGGGGGGGGGGGGNNAGGGTTCGGACACCTTTTCTGCAAAGAAAGTGCAGTTTCAACTGTAACCTTCATAAAGAACCATGCAATAATGCCAATACAGAAGCCTGAACAATTGGTGATACCAGCCGTTTGGGGTCCTTCCATTATAGTTGTCGTAAGGCTACACACCTAGAGGTTCATACCCTAGCCCTTTTTAGGGTACCCAGTTCCTTAGTTAGGATCGGTAATATAGAAAGGTAGGTAACCAAAAAGGGGGGGGTAGGGTGTGAGCCTCCAGGTATTCTACTTGTTCAGGCATATCCGTCTTCCCAGCCTCCTCCATCTTAAAAAGGTCATCGATCTCCAGGGGAATGGCATCAATGCCTTCTTTGGTGGCCTCTGCAGATAGGCAGCATGTGGTCCCATCTCACACTACCATACGGATGGAAACCCGAAGGCACACGTGCACAGAAAACCCCCAACATGAAGATAACCATGCCCATCACCTTGTGTCATCCCCTTCATAAACTTGCGGAGAGAAGGCTCTGTAACCTCAAGCCCTAAACCACCCTAAACCTAAACCCCAAAACCGCCAAATCCTAAGCTTCGGTTCGTTCGATCTTCCTGCTGGACTTCACTACATTTGAGGGCTCTCACGACTTCGGGCTCCCGGCACGGAGGTTCATTGGTAGTTATAGGGTTTAGGGTTTAG